CACACAAATTTTCCTTGCGGCGCTTCCCATTTTTTCATTTTCAACATTTTTTTGAAAATAAAAAAAGGGAAGGGAAGGGAAGGATAGAAATAAGTAAAAAAATAAGTTTAAGTAATTATGTAGAGAAGAATTTTAAAAAAATTCAAAATAAAAACAATTAAAGTAGAAAATAAATAAATATAAAATAAAATAAAGAGCACAAGAAATATTATTAAATTAATTAATTAATTTTAAATAAATTAAAAAAAAAACATTTACTACTAAAAGCCTTCTTCTTTTCCTTTGAATAATTATTTTTAGCCAATTTCAAGTTACTAATAGTTTTAATATTTTTTATTTTTTTTTGTCCCAATGCCGCATCCAACGGCACTCTCTCTATCTCTTTTCTTTCAACATTCTCCCCTCCTTTTATTTTCCCATTCCCTCCCCCCTTCCTTTCATTATTTTCAGCTTTTCTCATTTTTTTCTCTTATTTTTTTTTCATTTAAAACGAGCCCAACGGCAATGGACGGCACTTTTGTTGGCACTTTTTGTTTATTGATTTCCTCAATACAAACACGCTGGAAGGCTTTTTTTGTAGAAATTCGAGAGAAGGAGGACTGAAAGCCAAAAAAAAGAGAAAATAAATGATGAAAAGACATTTTAAAAAAATAAAAATATTTTTGATTAAATTATTTGATTGGATTTGCGAAATACATACATATGTATTCTAAAATAATTAAAATAACAATTTTGAATTTTTAAAGTTAAAATTTTTTCGAAAATCTATTTTTTTAATAAATTTAAAATATTATTTAATTACAAGGTTACCTCCGAGACTTTGTTTACACCTTTGCAGATAATAAAAGCCCTTAAAAGCTTTTACAAAATTGTTAGGTATTTCTAAGCTTTATTTTGCTTAAATTATTGGTTTTGGATATTTTTAAGAATAAATAAGAATATTTTAAAATAAAAATAAATTTTATTTAAATAAATTTTAATTTAAAAAGAAAAATTATTTTTTTAAAGTCTTCACAGTTCTTTTTTAACATTTATTAACTCAATTATTGAAAGTAGAAAGAAGCAATGCTAGGTATTCGTTTTGTGTTCCAAGAATTTCAAAATCTTTGGCTATTATATAAATTAAATTTAAAATATTTAAAATTGAGAAAATAATTAAATTTTATTTAATTCCCTTATTCTCTCTCTCCTAGTTTAAATTTATTTTCCGTCAGTCATTCAACAATTAAAAAATCCATACAATAGTAATTTTGTTGGTGATCATTTTTTTTTAAAATTATTTTACAAAATTAAATAATAATTTAAATAATAAATAAATTCTCTCTTTTTTTTTAATAAAAAAAATAAAAATAATTTAAATTATATATTTAAATAATTTTTAAAATAAACTCCCTTTTTTTGCAACTTTAATTATTTATTTATTTTTTTTGTCAAAAATTGTCAATTTATATTTTTATTTATCAAAAAGTTTTGCAAAATTTAAAAACAGCTGGCATATTTTTATTTATTTTGTTTTTTGTTTGTTTGATTTACTTAATCCAGACAAACATATTTTTTAAAAAAAAGTAAAAAAAGAAACCTTTTTTTTCATCAAATTTCCAAACACCTTATTTATTTAATTAAATGGAAAAAAATATTAAAAAACATATGTATATTTTTTATATTACCAAAATTAATTAAAATTTTAAAAATTATTTTAAACATTTAAAATAAATAAATTATTTTTAAATAAAAATATTTCAATCTCTTAATTTAAAAAATTTCAAAAAATTAATTATTCGAATATCCTCCTCCTTCCTTCATTAAAATATCCAAATCCTTTTTTCTTTAAAATTAGCGGTTTTTGCAACCCGTCATTTGCTTATTTTTGTTTGATCCTCCACACCGCCACAGATTTTTTCTTTATTTTTTCTTTTTTGTTTTTATGAAAAAGAATTGTTTTTTTTTAATTTTATTTAAAATTTAACAAATTTATTTTTAAAAAAATTATTTTTTATTGTAAAGTAGTATTTACTCGATTATAATTAAATTTTAAAAAATTATTAATTAATTTAAAAAATTACTCGATTAATTAAATACTATGTAATTATTTTTTCAATCAAGAGAGGGTAGGGGGGAAGTAATTAATATACAAATTTTTTTCTTTTTATTTTCCGAAAAATATATAAAAAATATTAATTCAGATCAAAAAAAATTTTTTTAGGAAAAAAAGATGGAAAAGGTCAAATAAATTATTAATTATTATTTAAACTAACAAAAATATTCTTTAATTTTATTTATTTATTTGTATATTTCTTTCTTTCTTTGTTTAATTTTTATTTAAATTTCCAACATTTTTCAATTTATTTTTATAAATTTTTTGCATAAACTTCAAACTGTGATTACCTCAAACAAATAGGAATTTGAAGCAAAGATTGAAAAGAAATTAAATTTAGGGGAAGGAGGGAAGATTTTGGGGAGAGGGAAAGGGGAATGAATTGAAGGAGGGAAATTTTGTTTTTTTCATTTCTTATTTTTCTAAAAAAATTTTTTAATTAAAAATAATTTTTTATTATTATTTTTATTTGAAAAAAAATAATACAAAAATAAAAATAATTATTTAAGTAAATAATATATTTATTTATTTCATTATTTATTTAATTTAATTTCCTTTTTTTCTTTAAAAATAAAAATATTTAATTTTTTTCTTTCATCTAGTTTACAGTTAAATGACCACACAAAAAGAAAATATAAAAATATATTTTTATTTTTTTTTTGTTTTTCGGTTTTCACCCTTTTGTTTTGCCTTAAATCTTTTGCAAAACAATTCTTTTGGGACACGAAAAGCGCAAAAAAGCTTTTTCTAAAAAATATATATTTTACTAATTTTTTTTGGATATTTTTGTTTGTTTGGGTAATTATTTTAATTAAAATATTATATAAAACTTTTATTAAATAGACAGAATTTTATCTTAAAAATATTTTTTGTTTTAGTCATTCAATGCAAAAATTTGCGCCTTGGATAAGAAAAAATGAAAAATTTAAGACAAATTAAAATTTTCTCTATTAAACTCTGTTTTTTCTATCCCGACTATCCCCCCTCCCTCCTCTCTACCTCTACTCTTTTTTAAATATTTTATTTTTTAGAAATAAATTTAAAACAATCTTCTTTTTAAATTATTTTAAATAATTAAAATTCCACTTTTTTAATTTAATGTGCCCCCTTCTATTTAATAATGGACGAGAAAATTTTAATCAAGAAAAATCATCAAAATATAATCAGGAAAGTTCAACTACACCAACAACTATTTCAAGTTTTAACAGTACTACTACTAATTCTTCTACAAAAATATTTAAAAGAATTAACACAAAAAAGAAAAAGAATTTATTTTTATTTTTAATTTTTGGGTTTTTAATTTTGTTTGGAATTTTTATTAATTTGGTAAGAAAAAATTAAAATTCTCATTTCTGTTAAATAGCGATACAGGAAATTGGAAAATTTATTTTTTAATTTCGGCAGAATCTCTTCTATATAATAGAAAGGATAAGGCCTGCTGTACTTTAAAAATCGGATGTGTAAAAAGACGGAAAAGTGTCCATTCCACTGTTATAGTCCATCACTGTCCATCCCCCTGTATCTCAAATAAACAAAATTCTGAAAATATTTTTAAAATTATTTTTTAGTTATTTTTGTATATCTCAATTAACCATTTTATGGATCTCTTACGTCAACATTGCTCCAAAAATTTGTCAAAAAATAATAATAAATTAATTACTACAACTTTAGAAAATAAAGAAAGTTAGTAAATAAATATTTTAATTAAAAATATATTTTCTTTTAAAGTAATTAATAAATTAACTAAATATTCTCCTACAACTATTCCTCCAACTTCCTTAAAAAATACAAAAAATTTATTAAATAATTCTTCAATTATTCAATTAACAATTCCACCATCCATTACTTCTTCTTCCTCTTCCCCTTCTTTTTCTACAAAAACAACAACTAATTTATCTTTTAAATTAAAATTAACTTCAAATAATTTAAAGTAAATTAATTAAATTAATTGTTATTATTTCCTTTTAATTGTTTTTTTACATTTAAAAGATGATTTAAAAAGAGAAAGTTTAAAATAGGGATAGCATTCTCTAACATAAAAAAACTTTATTTTTTAGTTCCTCTCCTCCACTCTCAACAACAACATTTCCACTAACAACAACTAATTTATTAGAAAATTCAAATAATTTAACTTTAGTAACAGCTTTATTAGATATTGGCCGGGATAGATGGAATCAGTATGGCCGTACAATAGCTCAATATCATCACTTTTTTAGATATTTACTTCAATTACGTTTACCTATGGTTTTGAATTTATTTTTATATTTAAAATATTTCGTGTTGAGAGAATAGTAAAAACTAGTCGGGATTAGAAAAGTCACATTATTTTATCCTCCCTCCAGCTTTATTTTCTTCTTTGTTCTTTAAATGTTCTCCTTAATTGGGAGTTTGGCAAAATCACATAACCCTCCTTCACAAATTTTAACTTTTTATTTTAAATTATTTATTTTTTAATTAAAAAAAGGTTGTATTTGTTGATAACAAATCTTGGCATTTTGTGCATCGTGAAAGATCAAGAATTGGATGGGGAATTAAAACTAAAGTTTAATTTTAATTAAAAAAATAATTTTTGTTGGAATTCTTTAAAGGTTAAAAGAATTTCCCTTTCCCAACTTCCCTTTTTCTCTTTTAAATCAAAAGTAACAAAAATAATGAGAGAAGAATTAAATAATTGGAAAAATGAATGGAACCCTTCTATGCGTTCACATCCAGAAGCTTCTCATCCTGAATATTCTCTTTTGGTTGGAAATTTTTAAATTAATAATATCTATCCCCTTTTAACTAAAATACATACCATAAATCTTCTAATAGAAGCACACCCTCTAATATAGGCACACCCTACGAGAAGATTGAAAAATAAAAGCACATGAGCTTCAATTAGAAGTGTTACGGTAAATTAAATAAAGTATGTATCTTCAATCGACAAATAGGTCATTTAAATTTAATTTAGTGTTTTGTTTTCTGTTTTATTCAAAACTCGAGGCTTTTTCAGCCTGCCGTTCGAATAATTATCCTTTCTCAAATAATTACACAATTACTTTAAAGTACCCACTCCCCCCCACTCCCTCAAATGCTCTACTGCTGTTCAAATTTCAAAACTCGTATACTTATCCCCTCTCAATTAATTGCTCCCTCCAAAATTAATTATTTGAGCATATATGATGGGAGATTACCTTCCTTTAATCCTTTTTATACTAATAAACTTTTAAAATTTCTTCTTAACCCAACTTCTTTCAATTTAACGAGCGTTTTAAAATACAATTTTTTTTTTAAGTCTGACAGTAATTTATTAAATAAAAATTTTCGACTAATTAAAAATAATTTTTAAAGGTAAATTCAAAAACATTTTTTCTTGTCGAAGCAGCTGTAAGTTACCGATACTTTTATTTAAAAATTATTTCTTTAAAAGGCTGAGAATCCTTTTGGAACAGAATTTTTTGTTTGGTTGGATGCTGGTTATGGGCATGGTTTTTAAAATAAATTTAATAAAAAGATAATATTTAAAAAAAGGTGATCGTTCAATTTTCCCGTCGGGATGGAAGTGGCAGCCAAAATTTGAGAAAGGAATTATTTCTTTAATTAAAGTTTGGAATTTATTTGTTGAAAACTTTCTCTAAACCTCTTTATTTTGTTAACAAAACGAGACTGACAAACAAGCCTCATTCCATATTAATTCTAAGAAAATGTAGAAAGCAGCCTATAGTAGTTATTAATAACGAGAGTCAAGGCAATAACACATAAATCCTTAACAAGATATAACCCCTTTAAAATTTAATATTTTCTAGTAGTAGTCTACTATTAATAAAGAGGATAAATCAAATTTTTAATTTTTTTTTAAATTTTTAGTTAACACCTCCAACAGATTTAATTACTCATTACAATTTACAATCTCTATATAGAGTTTGTTTTTAATTAAAAATAATTTTAAAAAATTGTTTTTTGTAGCAGGATATTTCTGTAATAAGTGGTGGTTTTTTAGCTGGGGATAGAAATTCAATTATTCGTCTACACCAACTTTATTATAAAAAATTTATTAATTTAATTGAAAAACAAAAAGTTGATGATGATCAAGTAAAATAAAAATAATTATTTTTAAATTATTTTTATTTTTAGACAATGCTTGTTTTGTTAATTAATGAATATCCAGAATTCTTTCATATTTATTATGGGGATTGGTTTGACGCTTTTGAACTTTTTTGAAGAATATTAATTACTTTCAATTTTGAATATTACTTAAGTATTTATTGTTTACAAAATTAACAAAATATTTTTTTAAATTATATATTTAAAATATGTGGTAGGCTTTAAAAAGGAAAAATGTAAAAGTAAAATCTGAGCTGACTTCGATGAATTCCTTTCAATGTGGAATTCGAAGGTAACAATTTATCTATTTGGGTTGTAAGGCTGGCGGATCCTGGGAAATCTTTGGATCCGATCCGTCAACCTTAATGGGTTCTGATTGTGAGATTCACCATAAATTTAAAATCAAAAATTATTGTTTCAATTTTTCTTCTTTTCCATTCCACAATTATCCCAGAAAAATCATTTAAAAATTTTTTTTTTAATTTTTACATATTTTTTTGTTAAAATATTTTTAAAATTAAAAAGAAAAAAGCTTTATACAAAAGAGTATTCAATAAAAGCTGAAATATTCGATAAAATAAAATCAACAGGATTTTTCACAATTTAAGAAAGAATTTTTCTATTAAAGATTATGAGAGGATAGGAAGTTCAGAATATCGAGAATACACGAATTATGATAAAATGTAAATAATTGAGGGGGTAATAAAAGTCAAAAAATCAAAGGGAAAAATCGGGAAAATTCGACTAAAAATTTTTAAAATATTCATTTGTCTTCAGACATTTAACCACGCATATACATCAAAGAAAGGAAAGAAATTCGACTTAATTGATTTGGTGTACTCATATAGTGAAGTTCACGACTAAAATGATTTTAATTAGGGAATTTTTCTTCAAATACCCTCTTTGGGGTTTAAAAATCGTATCAAGGTTAAATTGTGGATATCACTTAGATAGCTCTAGCTTAATCTAATGCCCAATCAAATTTCAAAAGAAAGCTTATTTAACTTTGGGATATCTAAAAATGAGGTTTGCCTGTCAATATTTAAATATTTTTACAAAAAATCAATTTAAACTTACTTTAGAATTTCTGGCAAAACATTTTTTGCCTGTTGTTTCAACCCCAATTTCAGAACAGCTTCAAGACAAAGTGAAGAAAGTGTTGGAGAGAAGTCGAGAACATAAAGATCACCCAAATCCTCCAAAGCACTCCTTCGGGGATGTGGACTTAAATTAAAAATTTTTGGATTAAAAACAAAAACTCTCCTCACGTTGTCCCTCCAAACAAAAATAGACGATTGCCAATCATTACATTACATTGACGACGGCGAGGAGAAGGCCCTAAAAATCAAATAAAAATTAGAAAAAGAAATCTTTTAAAAATCATCAATCAAACAATAATATGTATAATCGTCCTTTCCCCTCACCTTTTCCCAAAACTTTCTGTTCAATCCAAGAATTTGTTGTTGGGTCAAAACGCCACAAATCGTTGAAGTGAACATTCGAAATTGAATTGTAACCACCAAAAAGATATACAAATCCTTTAAATGTCCACATTGTATGAGAACGACGCCCACAAGGTTGGTCATTGTTAGTTGGCTTGACAACATTCCATTCCATAGATTTTAAGTCAAGAAAGTGCAATTTGTCATCATAGAGATCTTTTTTAAAAATTTAATTTTTTATCGAAATTTGATCAAAAATTTTATAATTTTAGTCTTAAAATTTTCCGTTTCGGATTCTTAAAAATATTTTTATGTCAATCTTTTCTCATTTTTAAATTCCCTTTTTTTAATTTCAATGTAAATAATTTTTTATTCACCATGATTTGTGTGTGTTTGTCCACTTTCATCTGAACGACCGCCAAAAACATACTAAAAAATAAATTTTTGTCAATTAATTTTAATTAATTTCCATACCATTCTTCCATCAAGTACACAAGCAGTATGGAAATCTCTATATTGAGGAGGTTTTCCAAAAGTTTTTAATTTACTCCAAGTATTTGTTGGAAAATGAAAAGAATAAGTTTCTTGACTAAAACGTTGTTCACGTTCTTCATATCCACCAAATATATACATATAATCATCCCAAACAATTGCTGTATGTCCATCTCTTGCAGGGCATTGACCAAATGTTGTAACGATAGACCAAAGATTTGTTGCTGAAAAAAATGTTAAAATTTATTTGTAATTTTGGTTGTCAGAAAAGAAATTTTTAAACTACATAAATCTCTCACACATTTTGGTACAAAAATGTAAGAGAAAAAAATAACAGAAAAATTCTTAAATTTTACATTAACCACATTTTTATTGCACTTTTTGGGTAAATACTTTTTTGTAACATAAAATATTTTTCTCTTAATTTTTTACACTAAATATGTAAATCGACACAAAATTGTTACAAAATGTAAGAAAAGTTTTGAAGAGAAAGAAAAAGGAAAGATGAAAGAGTAAAAACTTGTAACCAGATGTACTCCTTTCAACCTTGAAATGAGCATAGAAAATCATTAAAAAACTCAAAAATTCAAAATTTGGACAGCTAATTGTAAGTTTTTCTTTTTGTAAAAAATAGAAATAAACCCCCCACAAAAAACCAAAAATTGACAAACATTTAATAAATGTATTCTCGTGACAATTAATTTTTGATTCAAAAAAATATCTAAAATGTTCCTTTTTTGTTTTTAGAGTTTTGAACTTTGATCTATCTATGTAGTTTAGTGATTTTCTGTTAATTAAATATTAAATGTAATAAAATAAAAGAATATATCTATATATGTAGATTAACATTTTGGACAATAAAATGATAAATTAATTTAAAAAATAATGAACCTAAATTGGTCATAAATATATTTAAAAGGGAATATAATTTAGTGTGAATTTGGTAAATTTTTTGGTACATTAGACCAGGTTCCCTTGTTAGTAGAACTTAGAAATTTAGGTTTCTCTAGTAGCAATCCCAAAAATATTCTCATTTTCTTTTTCAAACAAACAAACAAAAAATTTTTCAAATTTAATTTTATCTAATTTTTCTTTTTCAAAGTACTTCCCGGAACATTTAAAAGGTTAAAGTCTAATGTATCAAAAATTTAATTACTTCAAGACAAAGTACATTGGTGTCACTCCCCACACTTTTTATCATTTTTAATGCTTCTCGAAAAATTTTTGGACAAATATTTTTATGATAGCAATTTTAATCGTAAAGAAAAGAAACGTGACTTGACTTTATTTGGGGGTAAAAAGAAGTTTTTTTGAAAAAATAGAAAAGGGAATAAAAATGAAAAATAAATAAAAAATATACCTGGATTGTATCGATGAAGTGTTTGTCTACATCCTGGAAAGAAAGAATAAATAAAATTTCCAAATAATAATTTTAGACTTTAAATCGAAAATTTTAAGGAAACCCAAATCCCTAATAAATCAGAAAAAAGTAGCTAACAAAAAGTTAAGCTCTATAACGAAAATGAAGGTGGGAGAAAAATCCCTAGACAATTTATCTTTATAAAATGAAAACAAACCATAAGCATCGCTCCGTCCACCCCACAAATAGAAAAATCCTTTATAAGAGACAACAGTGTGTCCATAAAGCTAAAAAATACATTCCAAAATATAATCCTTTTTAATTTCAAGAAAACCTTAAAAGGAATTTCTGGGTGTTGTCGTAATTTTTCCAATCTGTCTCTATCCACATTATTTGGCAAATCCAAATCCCCAATTCCATCAATATGGACAAAAATACGTTCCTCTTCTTCTTCAATTAAATCCATATCTTCGTCATCGTCTTCTTCCCCTTCTTGAGAATTTTCAGAATAAACAGAAGAAATGTCAAAGGTAGCATTTTCGTCGTTGTCATTTTCCAAATTATGGTCAATCTAAAAATTAAAAGAAAAAGTGAATTATTTTAAATATTTGAGGATAAATATTAAAATGGAAAAATTGCCCGCAAAAAAAAAACAATTTTTTTTTAAATTTGCTATTTTTGGTCGGACTCCAGTTTACGCTTACATAACATTCAATTGAAGCCTATTGTTAGTATACTTTTTATAAATATTATTTTTAAATTTAAATATAATTTTTTACATTATAATGAAAACCAACATCACTAAGTATTTGTTGGTAAACAGTAAAAGTGTCAGTAGCTTGTGTAACATCCATTTCGTTGTCTTCTTCAAGAATTGATGCATTATTGGTATTTGCTTGGTTTTCCTCCAAATTATGTTCAATTCCTTCCAAATCGTATAATGGAGGATTTGAATTTCGAATTTGTGCTAATGGATGTGAAGAGGTGGAAGTTGAAAGACTGCGAGTTCGACGACGTTGAATTTGAGTAGATTGACTGGTTGAGGGAGGAGTTTCTGGATGTGAGGCAGAAATGGTAGAACTACGAGGCTTTTTACCGCTTTCAGCAGGAAAAGTTGGAAGAAGCTCCCAACGATAGGTGACTAAAAGAAAGGAACTTTTTTTAAAAAAATTTTTAATCCTTTCAAAATTATTTTATTCAAAAATCACTTTTATTAATTAAAAACCAGTTTTCCTCCCAAATTTATTTTCCCCTTTAATTTCAAGGTCAAAAATAAAAAAATAATTTTTTTGTTAATTACTTACAAGTGTTGAGTACATGAATGTCAATAAAATCATTTTGGGGGCCAACTTCCGTCGCTGTATACCCTCCAAAAGAATAGATGTTATCTCCCATAGCCACGGCTGCGTGATTGACCTGTATAGAAGAAAAAAGTATTTTTATTGGCCTTCAATGTAGAAGTAAAAAAGCAAAAATAAACTCGTTTAGGTCCACCATATGAACTGAGAATCCAACGAGCCATAATGATAAATTGAAGGAAGGTAATGTAGACAAATTAAATTTAATATTTTTTTAGTTAATGTCTAAATAAAATTATTTTTAAATTTAAAAGAATGGAAAATTATTTTAAAAAATGAAGAAAAATAGACAAAAACAAAAGACCCCCCTAAAAATAAGCATGAAAAATTTTGTCTAAAAAGCTGATGAAATTAAGGAAAAACGTTGCATATTGACAAACATAAAAAGAGACAATGCTATAAAAATATTTTCAAATAATGAGAAATGATGTTTTAACATCTAATTTTATTTTACAATAAATTATCAAAAAATATTTACATTTTTAGGTAGTTTATTTAATTCAAATCAAACTAGAAAATTTTGTTGGCAACAAAATAATTTAATAATTATTAAATTTAAACGCGTAAAAAAGTTTTGTGTAAAAATAAAATGATTTTCTTCTTTTTAAAGAAAAAAACGTAATTTTTTTTGCTAGCAAATATTTTTTTTGTCTGGTCTATACATTCATCACAAAAAATTCTCTCATTTCCTTTTCAATGTTATTTTGCCTACACAAAGCAGTTGGGGGTTATTTTAAGGCTTAAAGTAAGAGTGGAAATGAAGGATTTTTAGTTTGATGAATATATATGACCTTGAACAAAATAAAAAGGTAAAATCAGCTGAGAGAAAGAAAAAAACATCAGAAAAGCATAGAATAAAAATTACAAATTGTGAATCAAAAACAAAAAAATGTTATTTTATGTGTAATTCTTTGTTGAAGAATTACAATATTTCAACAGGTAGAAATAAAAGGGTACGTAAATGACGTATATTTTATTAGTCCAGCTTTTGGCCAAAAAATGTATATGTAGTACATTAATTGGAATGGGTTATATAAGAAGAAGAACTAGTTATTTTCTCCCTCCTACTTTTATCTGGTCGCTGCGCTTTCTTTTCCCCTTACTCCAATAACTCCGCCCATATTTTCCTCAAAAAATGTTTTCTTCCCAATTGCGTAATATTAAACAGGAAAGCGCTAAAACTCGTAAAAAATATAACAATAGTTTGGGGAATGATTTGGACATATTAAAAATTTATGTCAAAATTTAGGCAAACTTTGATAAAATCTTTAAAAGGTAAAAGACCATAAATTATAAGAAAATTTGAAAAAAAAATTATTTGAACAAATATAATTGAGGGAAATGGATCTTTCTTTACACACACTTTAAAAAGTGCAAATTCTAAAAAAGCTTTCTAGCTTGGCCAAAAGATGGCCTAATAATCAATATTTTCCAGCACTTGGCCCTTTCTTTTTCAAATTTAATATCTTGGCATTGTGTCATTTTTTATTTCAATTAAAAATTTCTTGAAATTTTTTTTTGTGAATTAAAAAATTTATTTTTTATTTTTTATTTTAAAATTAGCACATAATTAATGGGAAAAAGGCAAAAAATTAGAACGGGTGCTGGTGATCTTGTCACAACTCCTGGACCTCTTCATAAACAAATTGAAAGGTCAAAACTAGCCAAGCCGAAATTCAAGCCTTTAAAACGTTCAAGAGAAGAACAAAAAGATGAAATTGAAGTTTGTTTTAACTTTGATTTTTATTAAATTATTTTAAAATTTTTTCTTTCAATTAAAATAAATTCCATTTTAGCTTGTCGATCCATCTTTAAAAGGCAAAATTATTATTAAAGCAAACAAAAAATTGGAAAAAGATGTTGTGTTCAATGAGGATGGAGAATCTGATAATTCTGAAGAAATTGAGGAAGAAGAAGACGATAATGATGAAAAATTGGATGTTGATCAATTAGTCTCAAAGCATTTGGAAGATTTAGATGAATTAAAATTGGTATAATTAGACATTAAATATTTTAATTTACTATTATTTTTAGGATGATGGTGTTGAAAATGCTAGGAAGAAAAAACGAAATTTTGATAAAAATAACAAAGAAAGTGCTATAAATAAGGCTGAGGTTTTTTGGAGTTTTTAAATTTCCTTTCATTTTTAATTTTTTAGTTTGCCGATATCGACCCAAAAATTGTTGATCTTTTTATAGAAATTGGTCAAGTTTTAAAGAAATACAGAAGTGGACGTATTCCCAAAGCTTTTAAAATTATTCCAACTTTGGTTGATTGGGAGAAAATTATTGAGTTTTTTTAATATTTTTTAAACAAATTTTAAACTTTTTAACACTTTTAGATTAACTCGCCCAGATGATTGGTCGGCAGCTGCAATGTTACATGCTACCAAAATATTTGCTTCAACTGCTACTCCTGCCCAATGCCAAAGGTATTTTTTGAGTGAATTAAAAATATTTTATTTTTAAGGTTTTATAATCTAATTTTATTGCCACGTATTCGAGATGATATTGACGGATTGAAGAAATTACATTTCCATATGTACCAGTGCTTATTTAAAGCATTGTTCAAACCAGCTGCATTTTTTAAAGGAATCCTTTTGCCGCTTTGCAAAGTTTCATTTATTTTTATTTGTAGACAAAAAGTTCGAAAATTTGAAAAAAACGTTTGAAGAAACCCCCGAAAATTTATTTGGAATTTTTGTTTTCCTATCCTAAATAAAATTTTCTCGTTCTGAAATTTCTACATAATTCTACAAATTTAGTCGAATAATTTTTCTCTTCGAGAAGCTGTTGTCCTCGCTTCGATGCTTCGAAAAGGTTTTTTTATTAAATTATAGTAGTAAATTATTTTATTTTTCAGCCTCCATCCCTCAATTACACGCAGCCGCAGCATTGTTGAGTGTAATTTAATTTTTATTGCATTTTTTAATAAAAATTTTTTTGTTCAGATTTCTTCTTTGGAATATACTTCTTCAAGGGCTTATATTCTTCAAGCATTGATAGAAAAGAATTATGCACTGCCTTTACGAGTTTTGGAGGGAATTGTTTCTCATTTTCTTAGGTTTAAAATTAATTAAATATTTTTTTTAAATTTTCTATTTCTTAGAATGAAAAATAATAAAGAAATAAATTTAACAGTCAGTTGGCATTCTTGTCTTATTTCTTTTGTTCAACATTATTCTAATACTTTAAATAATGAACAAAGAAATGAACTTATTGGACTTGTAAAGGTATATAAATAAAGTTTATTTTTTTAATTTTAAAATTAATTTTTAGATTCATTCTCATCACAAAATTACTCCAGAAATATTAAAAATATTGCGAAATAATGAATCAGAAAGTGGAGAAAAGAAAATTGTTCCTGACTTTGGAGAAGATGAATTGGAAGATGAAATGGATATTTAAAAATAAAAATGTTTATTTTGTATTTGTTTTTTGTTAAATTTTTATTTTAATTTTCTAAAATATTTTGTTATGTAGTTATGTATTTTCTTCAGAAATTTCCTTTTTATTTTAATTTTATGATATTTAATCTGTCATTTTTAAGCAAAATGTTGTTGTTTGATGGAGTGTCGCGTATACTTTTAAATGCTTCAAAACATGAAGTAGCTCAACTTAGGTTTAGCAGGTAAGAACAATTTGAACTTTTACTAAATAGTTAAAAAATGAATCTTTTTTGAACTAGAAATTAAATTTTATTTTCTAAGGAGGCGTGTAAATCCTCCACCGTGGGTTCCGCTAAAATACCACCCCGTTCGTGCTATGCTTTACAAAGACGATAGGTTATTTAATTAAATTTGACTTTTAATCTTAAATATTAATTTAGGCGGTTAATTGAAGCAAATCGTGATTTAGTTGCACCAAGTAGGCCCATCTATCGTAAAAATGATGGTAGTTTCAACTTGATTCCTGGTATTCCAAATCCGCCAGATTGTAAAGGAAATGCTTACAACAAAGATAAAAGTAAAAGAATTGGAATGGTTGGACGGAAAATTGGAATGACTTTGCAATGGTTTTAAAAATATTTTTTATTAATTTAAATTTATTTTTAGGTTAAATGACGGAACTCGCTGTCTTTGTACTATGATACATTTCCCTGATAATGTTGTACTCTCAGCAAATGATCCCGAAGTATTTAAGTTTTTTTATAATTAAATATTTTTTTAAATTTTAGACATGGTGGCGGCTAAGTGTGACAGGGAAACAAAAGGCATTTGGAAAGCGCGGGCCCATGTGGAGTGTAATAATTTTTTATATAATTTGTTATTGAAGGAAATTATGATTTTTCAACCTAAAGAGAACGAATAATAACACTTTGTTTTCAAAAAATTTTAGCATTAATTTTTAGCAAATGGTTGGGGCATACAACGATGATTCTGTTTTTTACACAGACGAATATAGAAAAATATTTGAAAAAGTTGGCGTCCCTTACAAAAAATTTATGGCTGGTTTTATGGTTTCCGAGGACGCAGTCGTTAAGCCTGGAACAATGTGAGATAGAATTTTAATTCATTTTTATTTTTGAAAAATTTTCAGCCTCGATGTTAGGCATTTTCAAGTTTGTTCTATAATTTTTAACAATTTTTTACAATTTTGTTTAGGTTGGCCAATATATCACTTTAAGTGGTAAAACTATTGATTGGGGATTTCAAGGTGTAATGCATCGATGGGGAATGAAGGGAATGACAAGAAGAAAGTTTGTTTAAATTTTTCAATTTTTTAAAGAGCTGATTAAAGCACTACGAAAGCACATCGGCGTGTTGGTTCAATTGGGGTTAAAGGAGAAGGCAAAGTTTGGCTAGGGCGTTGCCTTCCTGGTCATATGGGTTACGAGTGGCGTAGTATTGCTGGGTATCAAATTCTTAGGATTAACCCAATTGAGCAGGTTAAAATTTTTTGGATTTTAACTTTGTCTACTAGAATTTTAAGGTAATTTATGTGCGAGGCAGTCCCCCTGGCGATAATGGTGAAATGCTTTTGGTAAGTACTTCTTAAGAGTGTATGTCTCTTTGTCTAGGTAACAATCCCGTATATAATTTTCTTCTCGTTCCTTTAAAATTTACAAAAATAAAAATTGTTCAGCCTCTCTTCAAAATTGCCGAAACAATTATTTTTTACTTTACTTTTAAGGCTACCGATTCATTTATTAAAAAGAAGCGAATTGAAAATCCTCCATTCCCAACATTTTATACGGTAGATGCAACTGAAAATGAGGAATATAATTCAGAAGAAATGCATGCAATTTATAATGTTACTTCAAAAGATATTTATCATCCAAAACTTTTTAGAGTAAATAAATTTTTAAATAATTTTAAAATTTATTTTTTTTAGTTCAATCAACCTTCCATTATATATACAGAAGCTGACGAAATAAAATCTTTGGCTCGTGATAAGTCGAAAGCAAAAACAGCACAACTTAAGAAAAAATGAGAATTTTTTGGATTTTATTACTTTTTGTTATGTTTGTTTTTAATTTTATTTTAATATAAAATTGTTTTTTAGTATAGATATTTAAAGCAAAGATTATTTTTCACTTATACATTTTACTTATCAATTTTTGTACTTTTAATTAGAAATTTTAAAAACTAGTTTTTTAAATTTTCAGAAATGTTATAGATTTAAATATCAATTTTTTAAAATATTATTTTTCTGAAAAATAATTTTAAAAGTTGTTTTTGTTAAATAAGTAAATTTGTTTCAATAATCTAATTTTAATATTTTTTAATATCTGGTTTGATTCAAATATTTAAATTTCAATTTATTAGTATTTAACTAATTTAAGACAAATGCATTTTACTCTGTACAGATTTTTGAACACTACTAGCAGACTATCAAACGTTGTGAATGGAAGATGGACTACAACACATTATTTACAAAAGCCGAGAGAAAAGGACGAAAGAGTTTAAAATAATTTTTAATTAAAAATTAATTTTAATTTTTTTAGTGGAAGGATGTGGACATGGAACGTGTTCAGGATGATTTTGACGTTGTAATTGTGGGAGGAGGGCCTGGTGGATTATCTGCTGCTATAAGACTAAAGCAATTGGCAGCTGAAAAGGAAAAAGGTAAATGAATTTAAAATTAATTTTTTATTCAAAAAATTTTTTAATTTAAAGAAGTCAGGGTTTGTGTTGTTGAAAAAGCTCCAGAAATTGGTTCCCACACTCTTAGCGGTGCTATTATCGAACCACATGGTCTAAACAAACTTTTTCCAAATTGGCGCGAAATGGAAGATTGTCCAGTGAAGCAACCTGTTGTAAAAGATTCGGTTTGTTTTTGTGAAAATATTTTGTTGATTGAAAATTTTAGTTTGGGATTTTGACTAAAAATGGGCGGATAAACTTGCCTTTGGTTTATTTTTTAAAGAATTTGAGGTTAAATGTTTTAATTTTACTTATTATAGCTTCCAGGCTTCCCTTTAAAAAATCATGGAAATTACATTGTTAGACTAGGTAATAGAATCTTTTGAATTGAACTAGCAGAAATTTATTTAGGTCATGTAGTTCGGTGGTTAGGTGAACGTGCAGAAGAATTAGGTGTTGAGGTTTTTCCAGGTTTTTTTTCTAATTTAATTTTTATTAATTAATTAAATTTAAAGGAATACCTGCTCAAGAATTGTTATACAATGAAGACCAGAGTGCTGTTGTTGGAGTTGCTACAGCCGATATGGGGATTGCTAAAGATGGAAGTCCAAAGGTTAAAAATTACTTTAAATTTTATCTATTTTTCTGTTTTAGGATAGTTTTCAACGTGGAATGGAATTGAGAGCTAAGTGAGGAATTTATTTTGTTATTTTATTTTTCATTTAAAAGATGCACAATTTTGGCTGAAGGCTGCCGCGGTCACTTAACTCGTTCTTTACTACCTAAATTCGATTTGTCCAAAGGCCGTGAGCCAATGACATATGGTATTGGTATTAAAGAGTTATGGGAAGTAGAACCGTCAAAACACCGGCCTGGTTATGCAGAACATACAATTGGTTGGCCTTTGGTAAGGTTTTGAATTTTATTATGTTAAGCAAATGTTTTTATTGTTTTTCTGACAAAAAATATACATAATACTAGAATAATTTTATATGTTTATATTATGGCTTTTATTATTTTTATATTTTTTAGAAACGAGATGAATATGGAGGTTCTTTTCTATATCACATCGAGGACAATGGACAGCCTCTTGTTTCAATTGGTTTTGTTGTGCGTTAATTAAAAATATTTTCTTAATTTATTGAGAAATCATTAAATTATCGAAAATTTTTAAATTGTTGTCATTAAAATATAATTCTTAAAATTTTTTTCAGCTTGGATTAGACTACAAAAATCCATACTTGAATCCATTTAAAGTTTTAATATTTTTAGTAATAATTTTAACAAAAAATATTTTTCAGACTTTTCAATTATATAAAACCCATCCTTCAATTCGAAAGCATTTGGAAGGTGGAAAAAGAATTGGTTATGGGGCTAGAGCATTAAATGAAGGAGGATATCAAGTAAAATAAATTTTTTTAAAATTTTTTCTTTCAATTTTCAGTCAGTTCCAAAAGTTGTATTTCCTGGTGGTTGTTTAATTGGATGTTCAGCATCTTTACTTGTATTTTTTTTAATTATTACAAATTACTTTTTTTATCATTAAAGAATGTTGCAAAAATAAAAGGAACACATAATGCAATGCTTAGTGGTTGTTTGGCTGCAGAAACAATTTTTGAAGAAATTGAAAATTCTGGGGAGAATGTTCAAAGTTTTTTTATTAAAAAAATTTTTTCAATAATTTTTATTTTTTATTTAAAGCTATAACCCCAACAAAATATGAAAAAGAATTAGCAGAATCATCTGTAATGAAAGAACTACGTCAATCTAGAAATGTTCGACCATCTTTTGGAACTTCTTTGGGATTGTGGGGTGGATTAGCTTATACGGGGACTTTCTTTGCTTTAGGTAAAAATAATTTTAAAATAAAAAATTTATTTTTTTAAAGGTCGAGGAATAGAGCCTTGGACTTTGAAACATGGACATAAAGATAATGAGAGTATTGAACTAAAACAAAAAGTAAAAAAAATTTTTGAAAAGGAAAAAATATTTTTTTCTAATTTTAAGCATAAACAAATAGAATATCCAAAACCGGATGGAAAAATTACTTTTGACCTCCTTTCTTCTGTTCATTTAACTGGTACAAATCATGAAGAAGACCAACCTGCACATTTAACGCTTAAAGATGATACAATTCCTGAAGATGTAAATTTACAGCTTTATGATGGTGAGAAAAAAATATTTTTTTAGTTAAATATTTTTAAAATATTTATTTAGGACCAGAAGGAAAATATTGTCCAGCTGGTGTTTACGAATTTGTACAAAAAGAAGGCGGAAAAGAAGGTGAAATGCGTTTACAAATAAATGCTCAAAATTGTATTCACTGCAAAACTTGTGACATAAAGGATCCTCTACAGGTATTAAACAAAAGATTTTTTATTTAATATTTTTGTAAATTTAGAATATTTATTGGGTAGCGCCGGAAGGAGGTAGAACAAATTTTTTAATTAAAATTTTGATTAAAAAATTTGTAGGAGGTCCAAAATATGATGGATTGTAAATTTGTAATGGGTTTTTCTAAAAGATAGTGGTTAATGATTGCCTTTCAAAGCCAAAGAAATTTGACATATATTTTGAATATATACCTTAAAAATACATATGTACACATATTTACATAAATATATAAAAGTTTTATTAAAATTTGGCGTCTTAAATTTACATTACCATTGGAAAAATACCAACCTTAAAATTATTTTTATATCTAGTATATAAAAGTAATAATTCAAAATTTGAGTTGAATTTGAAAAATTCTCCCTTTTAAAATCCCTTTAGTTAAAAAACTAATTTTAGAAATTTTGAAAATTTATTTTATTATGAAAAATAGATCTACGCAGCTAATGTAAGCATGTACAAAGGACTTTGTTAATATACTCGGAATGTATGAATCTAACAGGATTATATGAAACAGTGATCCTGGAAATAAACGACCAAGTCGTCGTATTTTGAAAAAAATAACTCAGCATGGGACAATAACTGTTTAAATTATTGCTATAAAAAACAAAGGTCCTATAAAGGTAAAAAAAAGCTCATGAATAAAACTCCTAAACTTAACACCTCATTGTGTAAAAAACTTAAATCTCAAAAAACAAACAATTTTTTACAAACAAATTTATTTATACAAAAAAAAACTTCACAATAAAAAATTAGCGAATTACAAAATGAGTACAAAATATTAGCAAGCATATAGGGAACAAAGGAGAAATGTGAATATGGGGATAACAAACAATATACAGAAAATAATGTCAATTAGGAACAACAAATACTCATGTACCTTATTTCGGATATCAATTATTTTCATCCTCTTCCAGATTTCTTGCTTCTTCGACTGCTTTTGTTGTCCGATGATAATGAACGTCTAGAGCTCCTGTCTCCACTTCCCCGGTTGCTTGCCGTTGCTGTTGCTCCCATAGACGTATGGACTGAGGCCGTATCACTTCCAACAAGTCGCAATATGTTCCGGTCCATCCACAACATAGCCTGCTGGATACTGCAGCGAATGTCCGCATCACCGTTCCAAACGCAGTTCGTGATGAGCTCCGCAAACTCCTCTGGAGTGTCGTCGCTGAACCTAAGACGCTCGCCTGTGATAACCTTCAAAATGAAAAAAAGTTAAGATTAATTTAACAACACTATCTTTCACCTTTCTGGCAACAATGTTGTTGCTTCCAACCCCGGCGTAAGGCGTAGCACCATTAGAGAAGATCTCCCAGCAGAGGACTCCATATGCCCAGACATCAGATTTTTTTGTACAAGCACGCTCGATCATGGTCTCAGGGGCAAGCCACTTGATTGGCAATCGCTGATCTTTGCGCAGCTTAATGCACTTCTCCTTGTGTTCCAATTCACGGGCAAGGCCAAAGTCTGCGATCTTGACCTGTTAGCAAAAAATAAAGTAAGCACGATTATAAATTTAATTTTCGCTGCAAAAATAAATTTTACCTTGTTTTCACTGAACAAGCAATTCCTAGCGGCGACATCGCAGTGGACAACATTTCGATCGTGGACGTGGCTGAGGCCTGAAGCAGCTCCAAGACACATGTATAGTTTGCTGCGCACACTTCTCGTCTGGCGCTGTAGATGGTCCTTGAGAGCGCCCTCGGTTGCCAAATCCATGACGATCATCAGCGGCTCCTGACCCACTGCTACACCTAAACAATTGAACACACATTAAACTATTAGATCAGAGATTTGTGAGTTCTCACCATAACAGAAGATGACATTTGGGTGCTTGAACTTCCTCATGACTCTTGCCTCGTTCATAAACTCCTTGATCTGGTCCTTCGTGCATTTAGACAGCGTAGCCTCCTTGATCGCCACGTTTTTGACTGTTCCATCAGCGGCGGTGAATGTGCCAGTCCGGACGACACCAAATGCGCCACTCCCAAGCTCATCACCTTTCTTAATTGCGGAGTGTGATAGTTCCCATTCATGTCGTCCAATCGCGCGCTTTAGCAAAACGTTTCTGCCCTGAAAAAGAAAGACAACATTTAAACGTCAAAAGCCTAAAAATATCAATTTTCTCACCGAGCAGATGGAGGTGTTACTCTGTAGATGAGCTTCCACAAATTCCTGGATCGTGGCGTAGCCTCTGTTCTTCTTGAAGTCGATGGCAAACATGTTTTGTTGTGTCCGGAAGATGTAGTGTCTTGGAACTCCTTCGAAGAACGTCGATAAAACGTACGATCGGGCATCACCGGCAAACTCCTCGCTCGTCCGAATGATGAAGTCTCCTTCCTTCTTCAGCATGGCTACAGCGTCTTCTCTCGGTAGCTAAATTCAAAAAGTCATTATTTGGGACTGAAAACTAAAAGAAAAAAAACTCACAAGTCCATGGTAGTACGGTAGCCGCCACAGAGCATCGGTCGACATTTACAGGAGCGGTGGTTAGTTGGCGTAGTAACGTTGAGTTGATGTAGTTCAAAAGCTGGCAAATTTTGCCTTCAAAATACCTTCTTTTTATAGTAACTATATTCGAGATGCAAAAAGCTAAAACCCCTTTACTATAAAAACCTTTAATTGCATTATCTGTTAACCGCACTATCTGCAAATTTCCGTTCTCCTCAATCCGCAGCCGTTTAATGAGTAAGTTATTATGTACTTAATACATAAATAACGTTTTTATTCTCTTCGTTTTCAGATTTGTTGGCATTTCTGGACACTTGTGGGTCATGGCAAATTTGGATGCTTATCATATCGTTCTTGGCGTTGCACTCCTTGCTCGTGGTTTTTGTCATCGACAGCTTCATAACGTGTTTGTGCATTCGTCTTCGCAAAATTAAGGAAGAGAAGGAACAGAAGTTGCTGTTACTTCACCCACCTCCAACTGAAGAACCAAAACCACCTCCACCGAAGCCTAAACCTATGAAGCCGACGAAAGAGAAAAAGCCGACAAAAGCAACGGAAGAGAAGCCAACAAAAGATAAGGAAGAGAAAAAGCTGACAAAGGATAAGGAAAAACCAGCGAAGGAAGTGGAAATAAAGCCAGTTGTTAATCTGGCGTCTGGTCTCTACGAAAATTGTGAAGCAGCTAAGGAGAAGACGCCGCCAAAAGAGGAACGACCGTTGGAGAGTACAGCTAGATCTTCTCGAGATATTGCTCCTCCACCACCACCACCAAGTCCGCCACCGGAAGCGAAGAGTGACGTGAAAAAGTCAAAGAGTGACGTGAAAATGTGAGTAGTTAACATTTATCTTCTATATTACATACTCACTTTTCAGCAAAAGGGAAATCAAGATTTTGCCAATCATGGTGAAGAAGAAGGAGAAGAAGAAGAAGGACAAGAAGAAACCAAAGAAGAAAAAGCCATCGGAGAGGTATTATTTATTCGGGTGTAACATTCTTTTTATTTGTTTTTCTTTCTTAGGAGCAGCACTTCAGGGGAATCAGGCAGCGATACAAAGACAGAAAAGCCAGCTAAAGAAACTAAGGGCAGGACTGTTATCCAGGCGAGTTTAAAGACTTGTAATTTTAATCATCACTTTTTTCAGTTCCAAATACCTGCACTTCCAAAATTCGAGTTTAAACAAGTTGGTGCAACGTCGGCAGCATCGGCAACTTCCACCACAAAAGGTAATACTACGGGAACTTCTACAGTTGGCCGTTCTACGACCTCGGTGGACACAAAGTGAATATGTATTGAATTGAACGAGAAGAGAGGACAAGATTTTTATCTTGCTTATTGTATATATGCTTTATCTATAATATATCTAATTTTGGGGTATTGTGACTTATAGTGGGTTTTTTGTTTCTGAACCGATTTCGACAAATGAGGTGTCATTCGAAAGAGCTTCGAAAACTGAGTCGAACTAGTTATGGGGGAAGTCGGTCCGACAATCAGGGACCGAGTTACAGACCCCTGAAGTTTGAAAAAGAGAAGGGGGGAGTAAGCTAATTTTGAGGTGAAAAATTCAAAAATGCAAATAAAAGCTCATTCGACTCGGCTCGTCGAGCTGAGTCGAATGACACCAAAATTAGCGAAATCCGACTTGATTTAACAAAGTTATGATCGTTTGTTTTAGCTCCTTACCTATGGCCTATGTGGAGGCTTTTGCTGCTACGGAGACCCCAAGTAAGTCCATAAAAAGGGAGATAGGAATAGGTTTATGTTACTGACCCAGACCCAGCGACCGTTGACTCCCCGTGAGGCGCGTGCCGCAAAACCCCGCGCGAAGCGCGGGGTTTTGCACAAGCGCCTCGCCGACGCCCCATAGGTTTATGTTGACCATTTTGAACCTGTTTATCTTGGCTCAGAATTAAGATATCGAGCTGATTTTGGTGTCATTCGACTCAGCTCGACGAGCCGAGTCGAATGAGCTTTTATTTGCATTTTTGAATTTTTCACCCCAAAATTAGCTTACTCCCCCCTTCTCTTTTTCAAACTTCAGGGGTCTGTAACTCGGTCCCTGATTGTCGGACCGACTTCCCCCATATCTAGTTCGACTCAGTTTTCGAAGCTCTTTCGAATGACACCTCATTTGTTGAAATCGGTTCAGAAACAAAAAACCCACTATAAGTCACAACATTCTAATTTTGCTTGAATATATGCAGTATCCGTTATTGTTTAATGTACATATTATCATTTGTGTAAATAGTTTTTAGTTTTTATCTTTTTTTTGAAAGATAATAAATATTAGTTAACCAAATTCACAAAAATTGTTAAGTTTAGCTAAAAAACATTGAAAAAAAGGGGGGGAAATAATGCATGGACCAAGTAATGGAAAAAGTGATGGATGGGGAAGACAGGCAGAACAGCTAGAGCAGTACAAAACCACAACCTAATCCAAACTAACTGATTTTCGTTATCAATCGACTCGTCTCGATTAAATACATCTAAATATCTAGTTTATATTTGCATTTTTTAAATTTCCCTTCTTATTTAAAAAAATAAATTTAAGGATTTTAAAAATTTATTTTAATAAGCTAATTTTAACATTTTGTTTTAAGGGGTCAGATAATGAAAAATAGAAAATAAGCAAATTTAGTTAATTGGAAATTAAATAGGAATAGAAGCAGCAAAATAATTTTTCTTTTTTTTTGACAAAAAATCTCAGAAATATTTAGAAAAATTATTTAGACAAACATTTTAGGAATTACTAAAATAAAGTTCTTTTGCAAATCCAAACAATTTTTTGATTAAAAAAGAACTCTTTTTTAAATTAATTAATTTTGGAATAGAAGCAAGTCAAATCTGAGGTGAAAAAATTGTAAAAAATTGAAGAAGAATATAGAAAAATAAAAATCATAATTAATTACAATTTTTGAGGTCAATGACTTTTTTAGTAGTACATCTTTTCCTTCCAAAGGCAAAAAATTAACAGTTGGTCTCTTTACACTTTTCTTTTTTTCCTATTTTTATTCTTCTTTTTTCTCAGAAATTTCCAACTTCAAAAATGGCAACTTTTCTTGGGCGCTAAAAGAAAAGATATTTTTAAATATTTTGTTAAAATTATGTTTAATTTTGGATTTTAGTTAGCCTTTTTATATTTAAATTAAATTCCCAAATTTAAACTTACATTTTGCTAAAATGATCAATTTGGTCTTTTGCAAGTTTAATATACTGATCAATAGGCTAAAAAATATTTTTAAACAAAAATTTTTTTTATTTTTTACCTCCTTGTAGAGTTCATAAGTCTTTGGCACAGTGAAAAGTGCCAATACAAATACCAAGAGTAAGCCAATACCAGAGAACCAACTAGCAGCATAATAAAGAGAATAAAGTAATAAAGCAAACTTTAAAATAATTTTATTTGGACTTAAAAACCTTCCAAAAATTTACTTTAACAGAGTCGACGAGATTCTCGACTAAATATATATGTCGTAATTTTTTGAAGAGAATGACAAAATTATCCACAAAAATATCCATTTGGGAATGAAGTTTTTCTTGAGGAATAGTTACTTCCAAATCCAAATAATATTGAAATGGGTTAACTAAAGCGTCATTCTTCTTTCTTAATTGACCTTTGAAAAATAAATAATTTTTGATTAGAAAAATCCTCAAAAAATCCCTCTATATTTTAACATAAGTTTAGGAATATAATTAAATATATAAGAGAACAGAAAGGAAATTTTTAAAAAATTAATTGACCTAACCCAATTTCAAGTTTTATTAAAAATTATGTTTAAAAAAATTTCCCCTGTTTAACTAGTACCTTCCAATTGTTTTCCAACACGGAAAATAATTGTACAAAGCAATCCTCCCAGGGCTACCACCGCTACAAGTACATGAAAGGTAAATCTGTGAAGAGCATAAAGAATCCCCAATAAAAAACCAAGCACAGCACCGCTAATTTTCGGGTCCCGATAGTAGAGTACTTCTATCACTTAAATTTAAAAAACAAATTTAGAATTTTGGTTAAAATATTTTTTTTGTAAATTAAAGGAATATTCGAAAATATGAGGAATTTAAAAGTTTATTTTTATTCAATACTACATACTTTTTCCTTTAAAATCCTTTGCCGGTTCATAACGCTGTTTTAATGTTTTTTTAATTTTATTAGACATTTTTTGAATTTTAGAATTATTTAAAATTAAATTAAAAAATTTAAATTTAATTTTTAAATTATTTTAAATATTTTTTTCTAAAAAATTATGAAAGAAAAATATTGGAAAAAATCAGTCTGGTTTAGAGGAAATGAGAGAGAGAAAGACACGAAAAAATAAAATTGTTTGAATAAATGGATGGATTTTTAACTGTAAAAAATATTTTTTAGAGAAGAAAAATAGTCAAGTCAATCACACACATACACAAAGAAAAAGCAGTCAATTCCCTCCCCTTTTTGTGTCATTTTTCGATGATTTTTTAAAGAAACATTACTAAATAGCTATTTAATTTATTTTTGTAAAAATTTTGGTAAATATTTTTTGTGGTTTTTGAACAATGAGCTATAAAAGAACTAAAAATTGTCTAGAAAAATGTTTGTTTTTTAAAAATTTATTTAAATCAGGGTGACCCTTTCCAAACCACCAAAAGGGGCATGGCTTCACAAAAAGGGAATATACCTGAAAGAAATTAAACTAAAGATTTTTCCGGCCTTTTATGAGAACCAACTGAAAATTTCGAGAATTTTGGAAGACCATAAGACAGTTTTCTTACTTTTTCAGAAAAGATCAAAAAGGGGAAAAATGCCCCCTAAAGGTAGTAAAAGGGTGATTTAAATATATTAATTTTTGAGGAATATTTAATCAAAAAATATTTTGAAAAAAAATTCAAAATTCTTCAAAAATAAATTGAAAAAAGAATCGATTGAAAGGAAAACAATAACAGATTGTGAGAAGATTGAATGAAAAATACTTTAATATTTATTGTATACAAAAATATTTTAAAAAAATAAAAAATAATTTAAAATGTCCTTGGAAAATAATTTACAAAAAATAAAAGAATGACCGTCAATAATAAAAAAATATAAATAAATATTTAGGAGATGTCCATCAATAAATTAAATAAAAATTAGAACAGCCCCCACCCAACGATTGCACACAAAAATATATATTTATTTATTACTACCTAATTAGAAGTAAATTCCTTCAATTAAAAGTAATTAATTTGCCTTAATAAAAATATAAAAATTGGGAGGGGTTTAGAGTTAGTACTATGGGTGGGGAAGTACTTGCTTGTTAGGGTTGCTAATTTAATAAATAGAGAGAATTTAAAATTAATTTTGAAAAAATGATTGAAAAATGAAAATGAATGCAAAATTGTCTAAAAAATTTTTTCTATTATTTTTAAAATTTAGTGAATAATTTAAACAAATTCTCTCTTTCTCTTTTTCTCCCCATTATTTAAATATTAAAAAAGTATAAAATCAACTAAATAAACAAAAAATTAATTTAAATAAATTGTTTTGTACTTTTAAAGTATTTTTGTAAAAATATTTTAAATACAGTTAATTTTTTTAAAACTTATTTTTATATTACTAGGTCGGTTCATAAAAAAGTTCGTTTTTTCCAAAAATTTATTTTCCAAGAAAAATCGATAAATCTCAAGTAAACTAAAACAGATAAAAAATCTAACCTTACTAAATAATTGTCCCGAGTCTTAACAACATTCTTAAACCAGAAAAAAGTTTGTGGATACCTCTTTTTTAAAAAATCTGACCCCATTTCTGAAGCACTGTCTTCCCCACCACAGTCTCGACCTTGGCGTCTTCAGCCAAGTGCCCGTCCCGTAAAAATTTTT